CCTGTCATGGCAAGTATTTGAACTGATCACATGAGGTCTTCGTGAAAGGGGCATGTCAGGTTCGGGACTATTCGTAATACCCACAACTCACATTTCCAATTATAGTCGAGCACCGTTGTCTCGATATTCATCGAATATCGAGTTAACCGAACTTCGAGACATCCGACCAGGGCATATCATCACATTTCACTATTCTCAGTATGTTTTGATTAGAAACTATAATCCGTTATCAGTAGTGTTTATTCCTAATTAATTCTTCTTAGTTAACCCTAATTCAATAACAGACAAGTGACACCTTCAACTCAGTTAGCCCTAATTAGTTTACACTACCGCATCCCTTTGATTCATGCCGCGCCATTTGTAAACGTGTGGAAACAACCTCAGTTCAGAGGGATACTTTCCCATGAAAGGTAGGTGAATATCGAGTTTCTTTGCAAATATCGAGTTAAAAGGGTAATTTTGCTTGTTGGGACCATGAGATTATATCGAGATATCCGAAATATCGAGACATCCGTATCGAATTAAAAGAGCTTGAATTACAATAATTAGATTAGGAGCTATGAAGACTCATGTTTTCGCAAGGTCACACTGATTAAATGTTTATAATACAATATCTGGAATAACTCAACCAGGACTTTAACGGAGAAACCCAAGTTAAATTCAAATAATGAATACAAGTTATTTAGTTACGTTTACGGATAAGAACAGCCTTTTGGCAAATTTCGTTATAAATGTGCTTCATCCAATGTATTGGGGCCGGCTTGTGAAATATCTTATACAAACCTAAGAGAGCTCCAGATTTAATGATTTTACTGATCTGAATGAGAAGCATGCGCCCTCGGTAACGTATAAAACGCCGTTGAAAGAGCGGTGTGATCAAAAGGCAGCTTGTCGGGAGTTCTTGCAGTCGCGGTGTTGTTTCTTGATTCCATCCACAGAAATATGTTAGCTGTAAATGGCAATCCTGTGAATGTAACAACCACAAGCTTTACTTTTAACAACACAACTGCTAGTGCCAACAGACACAACGTCCTCAGATGGCGCAGGCAATAGCACCTTCAACTGTTCATCAGATCTTGTGACATCTGTGAGAACAACGTACCTGCCCAAAAGTTTATTTCACGCGAAACCTATTTGGCTTTTCAGAAGTATAACGATCCTATAAACGTTTTCCTGTTTATGTTGGCCTTCGTCTTGAATGGTTTCAACATCGTAGTGTTCATCTCACAGGACCGGAACTCGACCAATTTCTACCTCACCTCAATCAGTGTAATGGACATCCTGTATGCAGGCTGTGTCGTGGTTAAACCCGTATTTTACATGACTTCGAATGATTTGAAATCATTGTTTTTCAACACCTACATTATCTACATCGAACTGTACTTCAAACCTGTGTTCCAAAGAACCATCTTCTTTCTTGTGTTCCTGGTGTCTATTGAGAGACTGCTCGTGGTAGTCTTTCCCCTGAAAGCTAAAACCTTTGTTTTCATGAGACGCCCCAAGTCTATAATCATGATGGCATTCCTGATCCCTTCCGTGTACTACATCTTCAGTCCATTCCGTTATAAGATTGAAACCACTACAGACCAAACAAACGCTACGATATACATTGTTGTTGCAACACATCACGATCAGACGTTCCTCCGAGGCATGAGCACTACAGGTAATTTCTTATTTGTCTACGCACTTCTCCTTGGAGGACTGTTCCTTAATCTACTTGTGGTTTGCGCCCTGAAACGCTATTCCAAGAAGAGACAACACATGAAGACTACGGTAGACACGGACAAAACCGCAAGACGAGAAAGGCAGACAACAGTGACGATCATCACCTCCAGTTCGGTGTTCCTCTTCCTAGCCCTTCCACATGCAACCAATGCCATGGTTTTCAGTCTGTTCCCGGGCATTTACGGGCCGTACAGTCGTTACCCTTACCTGTTTAGTTTGATGCAGGATCTCGGCTCAACACTGACGACCCTGAGCCTGTGTACAGATTTCCTTGCCTATATCTGGCTCAGTACAAGTTTCCGGACCACCTTTATCAGAATCCTTCGTATCAGGCAGACTACAATTCAAACCAGATATACTGACCAGAACACGGACCATACACATACATCGTAGATGACATCCTTGGATCTGAAGCCATAGAGCTATGAGAACTTTGTGACATTGCAAATTGGCGAAGTTTTATTCTCGTTACAGTGAGTGCATACCGTGTGAGGTCAATGTTCGTTTGTTTGTGTTGTGCAAACATGGATACATTTTTTCATATGTCACTGTACCCATATTCTTTTGCTCAGGCACAATTACCATTAATGTTGAATTAGGACAGTACGCTAACCTAGCACCGCCGTCGTTGTGTTTTGTAACACACAAATGTGGATTTGGGTCCCTCAACTAATAAACGATCATCGATTCATGCATGTTGGTATTCTTGTGTACAGATATTCAAGCACACAAATATTCATGCGTACATCTGATCATGTACACAGACATTCATGTGTACAACTATTCATATGTACATCACTTCATCAATGTAAGGAAGAGTGTTTCATATAAATCCAATTATGAATAATGAAGAAAAAGGTTTAAAAGTCTGAAGAAAACCAATTTTCATAAAACTGTCAATTTATCTGTCAATTACTGTTATTTACTTACCTTTAGTGATTAAAAGCCAGTCCCTTGTAGAAATGTCCCGATTCCAAGCGTAAATGTGGTAGCAGACGACTTTACCTTCCATACGGAAGTACGCTATTGCAGCTGCGCAGAATTACCGGACGTACGGAATTACAGGACTCGCTTGTACATCTGTTATTGTTCACAGACATTCATGTGTACATCTGTTCATTTACACAGACATTCATGTGTACAACTATTTATGTGTATATCTATTCAAGTGCACAGATATCCATGTTACAACTATTCATGTGTACATCTGTTCATGTGTGCAACTATTTATGCGTACATCAGTTCATGTGCACAGACATTCCTGTGTACAACTATTCATGTGCACAGACATTCATGTGTACAACTATTTATGTAAACATCTATTTATATGTACATCTGTTCATGTGCACAGATATTCATGTGTACAACTATTTATGTGTACAACTATTTATTTGTACATCTATTCATGTGCACAGACATTCATATGTACAACTATTTGTGTACCTCTGTTTATGTGTACAACTATTTATGTGTACATCTATTTATGTGTTCAACTATTTATGCGTACATCTGTTCATGTGCACAGACATTCATGTGTACAACTATTTGTGTACCTCTGTTTATGTGTACAGCTATTTATGTGTACAACTATTTATGTGTACAACTATTTATATGTACATCTGTTCATGTGCACAGACATTCATGTGTACAACTATTCATGTGCACAGACATTCATGTGTACAACTATTTATGTGTACATCTATTTATGTGTTCTACTATTTATGCGTACATCTGTTCATGTGCACAGACATTCATGTGTACAACTATTTATGTGTACCTCTGTTCATGTGTACAACTATTTATGTGTACAACTATTTATATGTACATCTGTTCATGTGCACAGATATTCATGTGTACAACTATTTATGCGTACATCTGTTCATGTGCACAGACATTCATGTGTACAACTATTTATGTAAACATCTATTTATATGTACATCTGTTCATGTGCACAGATATTCATGTGTACAACTATTTATGTGTACAACTATTTATTTGTACATCTATTCATGTGCACAGACATTCATATGTACAACTATTTATGTGTACATCTATTTATGTGTTCAACTATTTATGCGTACATCTGTTCATGTGCACAGACATTCATGTGTACAACTATTTATGTGTACCTCTGTTCATGTGTACAACTATTTATGTGTACAACTATTTATATGTACATCTGTTCATGTGCACAGATATTCATGTGTACAACTATTTATGCGTACATCTGTTCATGTGCACAGACATTCATGTGTACAACTATTTATGTGTACATCTATTTATGTGTTCAACTATTTATGCGTACATCTGTTCATGTGCACAGATATTCATGTGTACAACTATTTATGCGTACATCTGTTCATGTGCACAGACATTCATGTGTACAACTATTTATGTGAACCTCTTTTCATGTGTACAACTATTTATGTGTACAACTATTTATGTGTACAACTATTTATATGTACATCTAGTCATGTGCACAGACATTCATGTAAATGTCTATTTATGTGTACATCTGTTCATGTGCACAGACATTCATGTGTACAACTATTCATGTGTACATATGTTCATGTGCACAGACATTCATGTGTACAACTATTCATGTGTACATATGTTCATGTGCACAGACATTCATGTGTACAACTATTTAGGTGTAGATCTGTTCATGTTTACATATATTCATGTAAACATCTATTTATGTGTACATCTCTTCATGTGCACAGACATTCATGTAAACATCTATTTATGTGTACATCTCTTCATGTGCACAGACATTCATGTGTACAACTATTCATGTGTACATCTGTTCATGTGTACAGACATTCATGTCTACAACTATTTATGTGTACATCTGTTCATGTGTACAGACATTCATGTCTACAACTATTTATGTGTACATCTGTTCATGTGTACAGACATTCATGTGTACAACTATTCATATGCACATCTGTTCATGTGTACATATATTCATGTGTACAACTATTTATGTGTATATCTATTTATGTGCACAGACATTCATGTAAACATCTATTCATGTACATATTACTTTTTGTACACAAGTATTCTTGTACACATTTATTAGTGTACATGGCTTTTTACTTACTCCTTTGTACTAATTGTACACAGTTCTTTATTTATTTATTAGAGTCCACAGATATTAATGCTCAGAAATATTCATGGATACAATTACTCATGTGCACAGATATCCGTGTGCAGGTGGACTTACTTGAGACTCGGTTGAATTCTTGCACAGAGTGAAAAAAATAGTTACTAAATTCTTTTGTGAAAAATAATTTATTGGGACACAGTAGAACAATAGGAATAGTTCTTTCGTATGTAGAAATGAACAACAAGGGTAGACAATTAGGAAGAGCAATATTGCCACGCGCCATTTTTGCTAGCGAGTTTCAGCTATGGCTCATTTGCTTTCACATTAAAGAACTTAAATTCTAAAGCGTAAACGAGTTATTTAGAAGGAGATTCAAACTGGAGCATGTGTTTATGAATCATTACCAAATACCGACGATACCAGTACAACCAGTGATCCTCATAAAAAAACACATGGGAAGGCAAGGCAAGTAGTCAACAGAAACAAATATGTAAGCATATAGTACAAGTCAAAACAGGGAAGATCACGTTTGTCACTGATGCGACTAATTTGGAAATGATATCCACATAACTACCATGACATCTTTTGAAAGCTTTGTTGAGGCCTTCAATGCGGCTGGCACCTTGATGAAACAACTTTTGAGCAAGATCCGTATGCCGCATTTTGAAACCTTCATTGAGAAGAGCATGCTCGGTTGTAACTTAAAATGCAGCTGCTGGAATATCGCTCAGCATCAGAGGAAAGCTGAAGACTGGAATGTTGCAGGCATCTCCTTTATATTATCATACAGTTTTACGTAGTTTTGTCACTCAGAATCTTCGAATAGAAACATGTACTGAAATGGAGTACGTATGCGTTTTAGTAGCAATAAAATGCATAACAGCAAACAAAGGAATAAACATACGAGTATGAGTACACATGACAATACCATATGCCTCAACTCTGAGCCATGGCTTTTAGCTTGCTGAGCCACCAATGCACAAAAATGTGGACAAAGCACCACGCATGTGATGCCAATGTCAGTTAAGATTATCAGTCGTAACAGAGTCCACTCGGCGTAAAAGGAAAACGGCGGTGAAAATAATATGAATGCAAAAATACAAAAACAAAATAAAAAGACATATAAAAACCAAACGTTCAAAGGTAAGTCGTTTAACTCAAGGGTAAATTCAACGGAATTGTCTTGTACTTATTTACAGATTATAGGATTTGCATATATTCATGACATGTAAATCCAACGTCAGATGGTATAGCGCGGTACATCCCGGCCTTTGGCCATGATGACCTTGAAAGTTAGTGGCAGCTTGCTGATAGATGTGTTCGAAGAGCTTTAAAATCACACCAGGCCCAGGTTGTTTTTCAAAACTCAATCTTGTTTGGGGTTGATAATAATCTTGGCCGATACTCCTTTTTGCTTTTGTGGGAAACAGATTTAAATCGGAGCCTGTCGTATAAGCTCTCCTCACTGTCACGAGATGTGACGTCATTTCCGGAATCTAGTAATCTGACAACTGTTACTCCATAACTATCGCTCTGTCCTTGCATTGTACCCTGCCCTATTGAAACACCGGGACGACGAACACCATCCCTAGAAGCTGCATCGTCTTCTACAATACGAAACGTCGCTCCTCCTGAAACTGTCCGCTCTGTTTCAGATTCAAGCACAAAATAGTCATTTCTGGGCAGACGGCTAGACACCGTCGAGAGGTTGTCCTGGTCACAGGACTGGCTGTCGTTTTGAGAAGTGAAGCTTCTGGAAGACGAAGAGCAGTTTGTAAACGTTGGATCTATTACAAAGTAGTCATTTCTTGGATTCCTTAAACTAACACCAGCTTCCAAGGGACTGGAATTGGAGCTGAATCTCAGAGCATTTCCACTTGAAATATTGTACACAGCTTCTGAAGAAACCACGCTGATTGCGTCAGGAGTATCATTGGAACGAAAGTCGCCCTGACGTTCCGGAAAAGATCTGACCCTTCTTCCATTTTCCACGTCCCCGTGACCACGCCCTCGATGTGTGCTGACGTACCTGTCCCCGTCTAGGGAGGACCTGAGGGAGAACGTCCGAATGGGAACAGGTGGCTTGTGGCGTCGGTCGTTGCGTAGCTCACAGACATCTTCAAGGACAAAGTACTCATGGCCAACTGCTGGTCCGGTTTCTGTCTCGGAATGAGCTGGACTGCCCGTAGGTGAAAGTCTGCAGCGTTGTATGCTTTCCATGTCGACAGTGAACAGCTTTTTGAGAATCTGTTTCTGACTGAGACGTCGGACCAAGCTGTTGTTGTTACCGTCCGGATTGTCCAGACTATCGGATGCAGACAGATTCTGAGGACTTCTGTCCAATCGGTCATATCCACACGACGGTTGATCAACTTTTTTCATTGTTTTCTTTTCAGTATCCAAATCCCTGTTCTCCCTGTTCAGTCTCTCCAGTTCCTGGAAACTCAAATGGTCATAAATGCAGGGCGCAGGTTTAGATTCCTCTTTGGAAGTGTCAGAACTTTGTCTCGATCGTGACCATTCCTTGCCATCAAGAGTTTCGTATATGACCTCTTTCGCAGGGGCCGGGGTTGGGTAGGGCTTCACGTCTTGAACCTCGGCATAGATGTTGTCTGCGTTGTCGTTCGGCGACATTGCATACTTCGACGTCTTACATAAGCAGAAGCAGCAAGACGAGCCCTGTGATAGATATAAAACAATATTTATTTACCTCACAGTACTGAGTACGGAAACAGACTTTTGATGAATCACTGTGGAAATCAAGATTGAATCAAGATTGTTTTAAGAAGAAAAACATGTCAATATTATGATGAAACAATTGGCTAAATAATACTTCCGGACATGGTTATAATTGTAATAATAGTCACGTGTCTGCGCAATGTATGTTCGCCATAAACATTATAAATATAGCACATGGAGCATTAACATTATCGTTAACCACACTGCTCAAATTCCTGTAAGGATTGATAGTGTACAGAAATACCATATTGGAATTAATCTCTAAGTGTAAATACACTTGAAACGAAATAGCATTTGTCGTTACACTACAACTTACTTTAGGTTCAATCTCAGAATATATGTCGGCGTCGACCAATGACTTCTCAGTGTTCCCAACAGAGTTGTCTCCCTTGGTAGTTGAAATTTTACCACTCCTCCTAGAAAGAGATTAAAAAGAAATTATTGATAATCATATTGACATATCGCAACCTGTGTATGGTTAATCTAATTATAAAGTAAAGATTTTATTTATGAATTTACAGTAATAGATATTTCTATATGCAAGGTATTTTAAGCTTGGAATTACTAATTATACTTGGTTCGATATGAATCAGTATAACTTACTGATTCCTAGATCGTTTTTGTTTGAGTATGGCGGCTACAAGCACTGCTATCAGGACGCAAGATGTGATGATGCAGCCCACAATAATAGCTGTCGTCATGGTAACTGGCGGCAACTTCCTTGACTCTCTTTGTTGCATGTCTGTGAAAAAGGTGCAGTAATATCAATCAGTCATCATTGCTCTAGCCTACAACTTAATAGTTGAGGACAGTGATGAGGTAGACTATATGGACATCACACATTTTATCCATTTGGGGGATCGAACCCGGGTCTTAGGCGTGTCGAGTGAACACTTTAACCATCTAGGCTACTCCACCGACCCATACGAATGAACAATTGACTGTGCGGAGAAGCGTTGTTTTAATAGATGAAGTTTTCACAGTGAAGTCAATTAAAGCCCAATGCATTTGTTTTATCCTACAACCAACTATACTCACCATAGTTAGGTGGGTTAAATGGCAGAAGCGGGATAACTGGGGTTGTCATGTCTTTTTTGCCTGAAACAGAGAACAACAGCTGTTTATCATAAATAATCTCTAACATATTGCCACGTATTGTATTAATGTATGTAACGACATAATCAGTTGTTGTTTGTTGTTTTACGCCGCACTCAGCAATATTCTAGCAATATGGCGGCGGTCTGTAAATAATCGAGTCTGGATCAGATGATTCAGTGATAAACAGCATGAGCATCGATATACGCAATTGGGATACGATGACATGTGTCAACCCAGTCAGCGAGCCTGACCAGCTGATCACGTTAGTCTCCTCTTACGACAAGCATGGGTTGCTGAAGACCGATTCTAATCAAATTATTAGGGAGGGGATAACAGATAAGTGACGGAATAGATATGACATATTTACTGGTTAAATGTTACATTAAATTTAACGAAAGACGTATCTGATATAATTACACAATACCTGATGTATATGCACAAAATTGACGCCTGTAAACAGTTTGATATATATCCGATGAGTGGGTGTACGGTAGATATGTATGAACCCACCTGTTGATAACTTATGTATGTCAAGAATTCAACATCAGTAATGTTTACTCATATGGATTACCGGTGCATATTGCATGTACACAGCATGTCTGCATCCAGATATACAGGTTTGACACTTCTTTGTAACGAAAAGTGTTTATTTCACGAGGCACGAGTTATGCTAAATTCCGTTTTCTGACCCCAAAATGAAGTCGTTCATTTGAAGTTAAATTCATCAATTACTGCTCACCTTCAACGTGGGTTCGAACTCGGTCCGGCGGTGGTCGGCGAGTATTCCCCGTGTGAGGACGTCTGATTATCCTGCCGTCCGCACCTGTGGACAGCCAGGTGAACATCTCATTAATGATAAGTGAAATCTCTCTTCACCATCTTCATCTTCAAAGGATGATGATGCAAAAGTGTCGAGACAAAAGACAGCTGTACACACTGACAAAAATAACTAAATTCCTGTCTCGAGGGCTTCATTCGGTAGGCTAACCAAGACGAAAGGTTCATCATCATGATGTCACACATTTGACACGAGACTACCTTGTGCTTAAGTAAGCTCATTTAATACGGTCCTTTGTCAATGAGGTTAGACTATTGAGCTTATTTCCTTATAGGGCCTCGGTTAACGCCTGTTGAATACCAGGACGTGAGATATAGCGGACGCAGGGCGCTTATCGCGGGGAAGTTTCTTTACAGAGGATGCTCGTTAAGAGAGGGTGAAGCCCGACAGCTATATACAAGGACAGAATCACGCAATGTGGAGAATTGTGAAATGTAACCGTTACGACCGAGTCGCCATGACTACCACCTCTGCACGCACGGTCATCACACTGGGGACTTTGGGTGAAAATAGAAATATACAAGCTGCCATAGCATGTATAGCCTCGTTTTTATGTTATTTTTACACAATGTTTAAAACGTTGAACGCGAAAAACTATGACACAGTTAAAACTGGGCTTCTGCTAATAAGTGTTTAATATATAGGCCATATCCGTTCTGCTATGACCGTTTCATATTTCGTGTTATTACCTACGAGGGCGAAAATATCGGGGTTCATATTTTTCATACGATACCCAAGGGCAAAATATCACTTTGTCATGGTGACGTGACGTCATGAACAATGCTATGACGTCACGTTTCTTCTATGTCGTTGCGTAGCCAGCCTATGTTTGAAAGTAGATTTGTTTTTTTTCACGACTTTGGTAATAAACAGAAAATTATATTCGTGCCCATATCATACTATGTTTACGACACCCGTGCCTAAATATCGGTATATTCTTAGCTCTCGCTCGGGAAATACCAATATTTAGGCACTCGTGTCGTAAACATAGTATGACAGGTTATCATTACGTCAATGTGTCAGTGATTAGGTTATCATTACGTCAATGTGTCAGTGATTAGGTTTTCATTACGTCAATAAATGTGTCAGTGATTAAATTTGTCATTACGTCAATGTGTCAGTGATTAAATGTGTCATTACGCCAATAAATCAATGGTTAAACGTGTCATTACGTCCATGTGTCATTGTTTAAACGTGTCATTATGTCCATGTGTCAATGTTTAAACGTGTCATTACGTGAGTATATCTTGATTACACCTGTCATTACGTCAATATGTCAATGATTAAACGTGTCATTAAAGTTGAAGTGTACTGTGTGTCCACGGAGACGTCTTCCTGAACCATGGCGGTCCAGCAGTCTAAGCCAACACTTACACGCTGACACACTCCATGCTGTACAGCCTTGTACTCAGACAATAATGAAAAACATCGACGCCATGACATCCGTCAGTTCAGCACATACAGGCAAATATTGGGGTTGTTCAGCCCCCTGGCTATTGAAACAGAAAATCAGGGGACGTGACAAATGATTGCACAAATTGTTCGACGCGACTTTTCGTCTGTGGTTAAGAAGGAGTAGCAATTGTTGAGTTGGTACGATGACATAACGTCTTCAATGAACACAATCCTTTCTTATCTGGCTAATACTGTTCCAGCCTTTAGGTCCCGTATTAAGCACAAAAGCTAATCGCTCAGTCATCACTGCAGATGTGCCTTCATACAAACAATATGACGGTGCGGCTGAGTGTTCATGATTAAGTTCATATAGTTTTACGCCGTTTTACCAATATTTCCGCTATATCACGCCGGGGGACTCCAGAAACGTGCCACCAAAGAGGATTTCAGTTCATAAATATGTTCAGAAACATGTTGCTACCTCTCAAGTCTGTCCCTGGAAAATGAGTGAGTGCCTTTCATTTTACGCCGCTTTTGGTAATATTTCAGCTGTGTCGTAAATGGACTTCAATGTAAAGATAATCGAACCCGTACCTTCGGCTTACGTTCATGCGCTTTAGGCCACGGTATATCCCTTTGTGAAAAACAAATTCTTGCTGGTTTTCAATCGCGATATATGGACACTGTCTTCTTTACAAGACTAATGTTCCCTAGGAGCTTTTTTAAGAGTTTTACCATTTGTCGCCGTGTTTCTTTGGGGAAAACTACCAGGAAGTTATTTTGCACTACATGATAAATTGGCCGTCAACCCCATGTATTCATACGCTGTTACGAAAGCTGCTTCGTCGAGTGAATACAACGTGAACGCCAGAAAATAGTCAGTCTCGATATTATGCCGAATCAGATTCAGCTGGACGTAGAAGGCCATATAGCTGCGAAACTTAGGCAGTGCTACTTGATAATAGAACAAACAACCCCTCGAATCCCACCACTACCCCCCACCCAAAATGGAAAATGGCTAAATAAATAACAACAACAAAGAGACAAAAAAAAACGACCCCCAAACAAACAAACAACATCAAAAACTGACACAATGTATATAAAAAGGCAGTGCATTGACAACTTTCAAATCAAGACGCTAAAAACAACATTAGTTTGACAGCGTTGATAGACAGCTGCGTCATGTTACAAGTGAGGCGCACTAAGGTATATCATTATCTCAGATAAAATAGCCATATATTGATATACATCCCATTATAGACACATACCAACACCCCATGATAATCATGCCGAATTGTGCCCGCGATTTCAGGTGAAATGATTGGCATTCAGATGTGGGCAGATTTTTAAGAGATAATAATTATAATAATGAAACTGATGATGGTGATTATGAGAAAACATCAATATTATTTAAATATATTGGTCTTTCGTCGGGATTCAACGGCATATCACGAAGGGCGCATGTGAAAAGGAAAGTAGAGTTCACAACAGATATTGAAATATATCAGTTGTTGGAAGTACGTCTTATCCATCACTAGATGACTGTACATTCCTTTCTTACCCTCAAAATCAACATCCACCAACATCTTGAACTGTTATCACCTCATCCAAAGATTCAAGTATATCTTAACATATGTTTTTTGGATTACACTTTCTTAGTAAAGGTTCGAATCCCGGATGGTAGGACACAACCCCAAAAGTACTAGAATGTGTACTTTACTAACAAAGTGTAATCCCAAATGTATCATATGTTACACTTGACCACTTTCTAAAATGCCATTGTGTAATCAAGCATATCTTACTCACCAATCACGTCTGACACATTAACTCGATTGTACATAAACAAGGGTGATAGTGTTAACATATGCGACGTTTATATGCTAACAGTGTTATCGAGCAAGTGGTTACCCTTGCCCATCACACCAACTTCTAAATGCCACTCAAATAAGTAGATTGTACACACCAACCAAACATTAGATGGTGACTTGATTGGACAGATCATCCTCGTCTTATTTATTGACTTGATTGTAAACACCCATCACATATTTCACCCCATCCTCAGTTTACATAACTTAACTTTTACCTTAACGCCAGATCCACTCAATCTGAGTCTTATGTTACACCTCGGCCAGTCTGTACACATCAACGTTAACCTTACTATATACTCATAACTATCCCCCGCAAAGCAGCATCAACCTAACGTAATCCTAAATGCCACACAAGCATAAACATGCACCTCAGTCTAACCCAACGTCTCAAACCCAGCTTCACATAAAATCTAATACAATCTATCGCATCAGATTAAACAGAATTGCACTATATATGTCAATTTCTACCAAAGTCTCAATCTCCATGCACTTAAACCCATTCTACATCTCTGATAAAATTACGCCTCAACCTCACACAGCATATACAAACCTGGCAGCACAACTACACATCTACTCTAATTCTCTCGTTGCACCCACATATCAAAAGTGTCTCATTGGAGACCAGGTTTGGCCTAAATGTGATTCACCTTGCACTTGTCTAGTTCTTGCACTCACACATGCCGCACAACTACATACAGAGAACATCTCACACGAGAGCACAGCGCGGGACAGGAACATATACGACAACCATGACAACAAACCCCCTTAGCGTCTTGCCAACTGACATAGTTTGTTCCAAGGCATCCACTCTTTAACGTTTATCAGTACTTAGATGAAATGAACGAAAGTGACACACTTTAATTCAAAATAAACATAATTTCTTCCAAACCTGTTTACATACTTAAAATTAATGTATATACACTTTTTCGACAAAGTAATAGGACAAACTGTCAAGAAGCATCATGATGCCATACCTGCGAGAGATGGGCAGAAGGAATCTTGACGCGAAGAGATGCCAGTCCTATACTAATCTTGTCCACTAGTTGAGTGCGCATCTTGCAGATCTGACCCAACATTCATCATTCACACAATGCTATAACCAAACAAACAGGATATCTGTGTGGCATAAGTGAACCGTTCAACCGCTTTGTTTGAACGCATGTCAAGCAACACATAGTTTGGTTGGACTGTACGTACGTGACCTCTCCTTGTAACGGTTTCTACAATCACAGCAGATGTGTCCTTTTGGATGCTTAGGGCTCGAGCATACAGTTCCGGTCTCGTGGGTAAATGTGCACTAGTATTGTGTACCAAGTCACGAAGAATGATTTCACGAGTATTATCGTTATAAATAACTTCTATTAAATGAGTCACTTTATTGCTATTTGTAATAAAACACACACAAACGTGCATGCATGCATGCATTCATTCATTGTATATGTGCGTGCGTGCGAGCGTATGTCTGTGATGGGAGTTTGTGTGTGTTGGCATATAGAGGTGGGGAGTGTGATGGCTATATGTGTGATGGGCTTTGTGTATATGTCTGTGTTGGTGATGGGAGTTTGTGCCTATGTGTGTGATGGGGTTTGTGTGTATGTCTGTGTTGGTGATGGGAGTTTGTTTGTGAGTGTGTGTGAGAGATGGGATTTGTGTGTGTGCATATGTGTGTGAGGGGGTTTGTGTGTATGTCCGTGTTGGTGATGAGAGTTTGTGTGTATGTCT